AAGGAAGGAAGGAAGGAAGGAAGGAAGGAAGGAAGGAAGGAAGGAAGGAAGGAAGGGACAGAGGGAGGGAGGGAGGGAGGGAAGGAAGGAAGGAAGGAAGGAAGGGAAAGGAAAGAAAGGTAGGAAAGCCCACAATAATTCATTGATCTTTCAGAAGGAGAGAACAAATCAGTGGTTACTAGAGGTGAGAAGGGGGGGGGCATTGAGGAGAGATTGGGTAAGGGACATAAAGAATAACTATAATTTGTAATAATGAATGTGTTAGTAATATTGATTTGATCAACACATGTTGTACACAGGTAATAGTAGTCAATGTTGTACCACAAAAATATTTATCATCAATTATGCTTCAATAAAAAAAAATGCTAATACACTATGATGTGATGTCGTGGTGAAAAATGTAATGGGACTACAAACTGAGGGAAAAAAGGGATGAAGTAAAATTTTCAATGGTTTACAGGTCACTAAGGTATTTCCATCTTACTGGATACATTTTAAAGGGGCGTGTAACTATCCTACATTTAAATAGTAACATTTACTATATGTATGCAATCACATCTTTGCATCTATTTAAACTCATGATGAAAAATATTAGATATTTTAAAATGCACAAGACAGACATAGTTTTTAGGGATACATAAAAAAATCATTAATAATATCATCTCTCTACTAGAGCACTTTTGGAAGTACAGAATGATATATAGAAATGTGGAAATAAAGCATCGTGCAATTTCTTTATCAGTTGACTTCTTCCTTCTTCCTCAGGATTAGCTCCACAACAAATAGAAGGGGCATTACATGTCTGATCCATATACAGAGTCTGAAGTAATAATCAATTATGCTCACTCCAAGAGAATACTTTGTTTTTTGGGTTTTTTTGTTGTTGTTGTTTTTCTAATCACATTTCATTCATGCCATTAGGCGGTTGTCCGGATACAGTTGGATTAACTTTATTTACAAAATGTTTGCCAAACATATACCATGTAAAAGATAGAGGCAATCGAGACTCCCCTGAACCTCAAAATTTTCAGAATCTAATGGAGAGAAGCAAACAAATACAAACATCTGCCTATTTAAAATGTAATGAAGTGAATAGGACAGTACTTTAAAATTAAATCAAAATGTGAATATGAGTTTGCAAAACTCCAATAATACATTCAATTGTTAAGTGTTTTTAAGTTATTTTAATAGAAAATACCAGAGAACAAGGCTTCCATTTGTTACAAACACCACAATTTTATAAAAATTTGTCCTTTAAGTTCAGCTGCAAGGAAACTTAGATACAAGTCAGAGAACAGACAAAATATTAACTTGACCCTTATTTTTATTTCAAGAGTGCTCAAAATGTCAGCATAAAATATGGAGATTACATACCCAATTAGAGGGATTTCTATTGTTTTATTTCCTACTGAAATAAGTAGTTGGTCAAAAGTGTCCTCATCTTTATCAGGATGATATTCCACAGTAGCTGTCATCTGAAGGCCAGAAGCAAGTGCTTTATCCAAATTGGTCAAAATCAGTTTGAACTTTAATCGGAGAAAAAGAATCAAATTATACATCTTAACTCCTTATAAGGAAATAATGTGAGCAATTGTAGTTAGGAGTGTATATTATTATCAAAATATAGGTCTTATTCCTGCCTTACAGGAAAAAACTTTAATTTTATTTTTAATTAACAAATAATAATTAAATATATTTATGGGGTACAATGTGATGTTCCAATATATGTATACATTATGGAATGAGTAAATCGGGCTTATTAACATATCTATCACCTTGCATATTTATCATTTCTTTGTGGTAAGAATATTGAAAATCCACTCTCTCAGCAATTTTGAAATATACAGTATAATATTATTAACTATAGTCATCTTGCTGTGCAACAAATCACCAGAAGTTTTTCCTCCTGCACAACTGAACTTTTGTACTCTTTGACCAACATTTCCTCTCTCCTCTCCCTGCTCATCCCCCAACCCACCCAGCCTCTGGTTACCACCATTCTACTCTACTTCTATGAGTTCGATTTTTTAGATTCTACATAAAAATGAGATCATGCAATATTTGTCTTTCTGTGCCTAAAGGCAAATATTTAATACTCATATTTATATCTATCAGATTCTTGATTCTTAAGATATGCTTTCAACAGTACAGGAACTGAAACCAGCAATGCAGTTTATCAAGAAACATGTTAATGCTCATGGGCTGCTTTAGAAATATGCGGACTGACAGAACTAATGTGTCCTCCATTCTAAGCAACTTAAAATCTAATATAGCAAGAAGGAACAGCAACCTAATAAAAATGCTGCTCATTCATATATACTGTTAAAATAAGTTTGGCCTAAAGATGCCTCCACACATATTTTAAGTTTGGCCCACAGGTTTCTCCCTAGATGGTCATATGTAATCCAACGTGATGTGTAAACAGACTATAACCTAACCTGTGAATATATTCTTACAACAAGTAGCTGAACTCAGTCAATCATGGCAACTGAACCTCCAGTCAATCAGAGGTGGAACACTGCCAAAACTTGACCATATAACGCAAAAGCTGACTGCAGTCAATCAGGTCTTTCTGTGAATTAGTTCCTTTTCTCAGGCTATAAATATGACCTTCACATGTGGTGGGGTAGAGCATTCTGAACTATTTTTGGTCCAGACTACTGCTCTATTCTAGAATTACAATTAAAGCCAATTAAGTTCTACAAAACTAGATTTGCTGTAATTTTGTTTTTTAACAATACATATACATAATACATAACTGCATGCATGTATACATACAAGGTGTCTTCAAAAAGTTCATGGAAGGATTGGCATTATCTTTTAACTCTATTTTTCTTTTTTTCCTTTTTGAGACCGGCCACGCTGCGCTCAGCCAGTGAGCGCTGTGAGTGCACTGGTCTTCCCTATATAGGATCCGAACCCACGGCGGGAGAGCTGCTGCGCTCCCAAGCGCCGCACTCTCCCGAGTGTGCCACGGCTCGGCCCTTAACTCTATTTTTCAATGAACTTTTTGATGTACTCTCTTGTGTGTTTGTATAAATACATGTATTTTATATACAGAAAGTATATAGTACCTTATATACTTTCTGCATGGGGACTAGGGCTTCATAACTTAGAGAAAATGTAAAAGAGGAATAAACCAAGGAGGAAAAACTACTTTTGTCCTAGTAAAGCATTTGCTAGACTCCAGGAAAACTATAAAGGGAAAAAGAACTGATATCTGTCAGGCACTTATGAATGCATTCTACATCTATTACTCACTCATGACACTTCTACAGTCCTATGAGGCTGATGTTAAGGATCTCAGGATACAGATGATGAAACTGGGATCCATAGTAATTAGTGTCTAAGGTCACTTAGGCACAAGGATTCAAAAACACATATCTATTTGACCCTAGAACTCAAACTCCTCCCCCAACCAGAAAGAATACCTCTCCTGAATATATAATTGCCTTAGGAAAGCAAACTATATACCACATGAAAATTAAATAATATAAGCCAAGGACTAATTAAGTGTCATGTGAGTGATTCAAACGTAAATATGACAAAACTCCATGAGAGGACGTGATTACTGTGGGCTACGAATTAGTGAACTTGGACTAAGCTTAGAGGATGGATGTGAAAGGTAAGGAAGAAGCAAGAAAGGTGCTCACTACGGATGTAGGAATAGTTCAGACACAGCAGAGACAAGAATAAGCAAAATAGTCTCTCAGAAGGCAGCTAATAAGCCAGCCTCTTCAGGCAAAGTGTCCTCAGTCAGTAATAGTGAGGTCAGTGAAGTCATGTTGAAATTTATTATTCAAGGATTCTAACGCCAGGCTGAATTTAACAATGCTTTGTAGCAAAGAAATATATAAGAAATGGAGTGATTTGTTGATAACACTGGTCTGAGGACTTCTTAATTCCAGCAAACAATAATTCTGATACCTCACGACTACCATATTCCAACCCACAACCTCCTTGCAATTACAGAACAGAAGGAAAACAAACAAACAAACAAACAAAAAACGTATTATTCCCCACATAGACCTTTGCTTGTTGGAAGTCCATGTATGAGGTGTGACTATCTTCCTTTAAAGAAGGTATAGCTTCGAGAAAGGAAAAAAGTACTTCAGAAGCATATGCTTTTGGTCAACTACAAGTGGCTGAGCATTCTTAGTGATATGCAAAGGTGTGTAAGGCACCATCCCTACTCTTAGCAGCTTGTGAACTGAACGTTGAGGCAAAACTATTATTTACCAAGAGTCTTTGGAACACAAGTCCAAAGTATAAGGAATGTCTGTAAATGCAATTCGTATCTAGTAGAGCAGAAATAATTTGGGGATAATAGAATGGAAGTCTTCTTAGAGAAAATGAGACCTCATGTTGACCTTAAAAAACGAATAGGATTTTGTAAAGGGGTGATTCTTGCAGGGGGGGTGGAATGAAAACGTTGGTCAAACGAAAAGGAACTCTGAGCTATAGGGAAAGGAAGCAATTATGACTAAGAGTAGCCTGGCCAAACCAGAGGCCACGCAAGTCAGCAAAACACTATTAGATGGATAGCGTTGGTAAGACTGAGTGATGGCACTGAAAACCAGGCACAAGACCATCAACTCTACGTTCCTTGAAGATAAGGACTGTGTCTTCTCATTTTTCAACCAGCAACCCACAGTAGATGATATATAGCACTGTGTATGGCACAAGTGGGTACACAGTACATAGGTTCAATGCAAATTCTTGAGTCAGAGTAGAAAAACAAGTACTGCTGTATGTTAGGAGAATCATTTTTTAGCTGACTATAATGATGACAATTTTCTTTACACAGCACCTTCTTTTTACATTTTCTTATTTTCCCCAAGACAATTAATGCATTTTTCACGAAACCATTTCTTCCCTAATACCCTTTATTCCTATGAAGGGTCAGGAGTGTATATTTTGCAACAACAGCAAAAATTCACACTGATATTGTCTTCTAACTAGTAAGCATATCTGGCTATTCTCTTGTCAATGTCAAGGCCTGTGGTCCGAACTGTTTTCCATTATAAATCTAGTTACAAACTAAAATAAAAAGAAATTACATAATTTTTCTTGTTACTGCACAAAACCATCTGTACAAGTGTACTCTGAACATTCATAACATAGTGTTTGTCCACATCCAGGAATTACTACCAGCTTGAGTTATAAAAAAAATATTTTCAAATATATATTCAATTATTCAATAAATATGTGCTAAAGTAGTGAAATAATAAACCTTTTCCTTAATTTTACAGTATCTGGAGTAATCAGGTACTTTTTGGTTAAAAGAGTAGTTATCAGTCTCTTGAGATGTACCTTCTAAAAAAACATTTAAATTCAAAATTTATTAAAGCATTATTCCATTTTTATGAAATTCAAGAACAGACAAAACTAATCTGTGGTGTTAGAAATCAGAATAGTTGTCACCTCTATGGGGTAATTACTCTAAGTACTATAGGAAAGAGGCACTAATGACCTTCTGGTGTCCTGGATATATTCTATGATTTGATCCAGATGGTGGCTACCTGTATGTATACACATATATATAAATTTATCAAGCTTTACTTTTGAGATCTGTGTACTTTAGTGTAGGTAAATACTAAGTCATTTTTTTAAAAGAGTAGAAAATAGAACATGAAAGTCCTTTTCTTACTGTCCTCCTAATCACTGACAGGTTTTTTATGTAAGTACAAAAAAATACATAGATTTTTTAAAAAAAATTATGGACATCTTTTCATTTCTGTACATATAAGTCCAGCCGCACTCACTGCTATTCATCATTAGGAATATCTTCTGAAAATGTTCAGTTATCTATTGTTTACATATCAAAAATTCTTATCACATTGAAAAGTCTCCCGAAAACATGTGTTCATAGTGAACTAATAGCCATCCATTCATACACACGAT